TTTTTTTTTTTTTATTTTTGTCCAGTTAATTTTTTTTTTATTTAAATAATAAATTCAATCAACCAAGGCATGTAATTATGTAAACCAATCTCAACAATTAGTAGAGAATTGCCTGAGTAACACCACGCAAGGTGTGATGATGAGAGGTCAGTAATGGAATTATAGGAGGAAGTAGTTCATCTAGGTGTCCAAACTGAGTCTCTCTTTTAGCATTTAGAATGACATTAGCTGCTATGAATACATATGATGATAAAGCCTGCACCAGTCAAAGATAAGTACACTATAGTTTAATCGCAAAAATAATAAATGACAATACTCACCAGTGCTCACTGATACATATAGCATGATAGAAGAACAAAATAATTTGATTATATGAACCTTTGTGACCAGAAAGGTCATGTGCAAAAACTTAAGAACCAGAGTAATTTAGACAAATAAAGGATTGAGTGGAAGCAGCTAGCTAAGTCAGAAGTCGTGCTCACTTCATACAACTTTTGTCAATTTTCTGAATTTAGTAATTTAAATCCAAATATATCATACAAAACCCATTATTTATCACAAAGTTCACATCGGGAGGATTGATTCAGTTCACCAATGATTCCAAACCCTTGCTTAGTGGCCATTAATTCTCCCTTTACTAAAGGTAATTCTGAAACTGAAAGTTTCGCATCACTTGCACCGCTATTTTCCAATCATGCAATTTACATAATATTGCAACTACCAAATTACTTCTTTCGATGCCTTAAATTATCTAAATAGCATTATGCATAAATATCAATGTAAATTAGAAACAAATAATCGAATTGATGAAGTAATGAGATGCATTATCACTGAAGATGAGTTTGCAGACATGCATTCAGTATTCCGCAGTCAGCTAAATACAAGTCTTAAGCCAAGTTGATCAATTACACACCTAGCAGCAGGTCAGCACTAAGGCAAACAATTTTAGGCGCTGAGGTTAGACTAAGCTCCGGATATATAAAATTCAGAAGTAAATCAGAATTCAATAAGAACAAAAGTGTGAAACAAATATCTAGGAATTTTGTTATAACATTCTAACCATGGTATATTTCCTGAGGGGTACCAAAAAAAAAACAAGATAATAACATTTAACCTGAAACAAACAAAATGAAAGTATTATTCTACTCTTACCTGTGGCTTCATATCATTATTCCTAAGCTGAGAAACCAATTGTTGACCAACCTATAAAATGAACAAGTAAGCAGAGGCCCTAGATAATAACGGAATAAATTAGTAAATACATATATATAAGCTTAACGTGACTATTGCAAGTTTACAGCAGGAATAAGATAAGTGCCTAATGCTGCTCAGCTTCAATTATAATACGCAGGAATACCAACTGGGTTATAGTAGAATACTGGTCATGCAAAATTTTTGTGGCACCACATCATTCAGCCATCATAATTACTCATAAGCTACACAAATTTAACAGCTACAATAATAGTCAATCATTAAAGCACAGTTTAACCAAAAAGAGTAAGAGAAACTAAGCAAAAGATTACTCCTTACCAGTGAAGGGAATTTCAAATATATGCATATAGCAAAAGTTTCCAAGTATTGACGAACAGAAGGATAGTTGTTCCGCTGCAATGAAATGAGACACTTATTAGATGAGCAACAGTGGAAAATGTCGAACCAAACAAAAAAAAATGTTCTCATTCACCTTTTGGTAATTCTATATGTAAGACATGTTTTAAATGGTGTAATATTATTTCACAAACTCTCTCCGAGCCTAGAATTTAAAATAAATCTGGAGTACGATAATAGGGTGCATACAACATATGCTTCTCGTAAAATGCATATGCAGCAGAATCCAGTTTTAAATTGTTTTGTATATTCTAATATCATATATTTTCAGTCATAGCACCCAATAAAGCAAACATGTTGCTTCAATTTCATATAAAAGAGCATACAACATTCATGTGACATCTATTAAACAGGTCAAAAGTTCACACAAAATGGTCATATAAGAAGAAAACTATTTGTCACTGTCAGCGTCAAAGGAAGTAAAGTTTCAAGGTAGAAAGGACTCACGTAAAGGGATGCATGCAGGATGAATGTTACTTGCTCAATGATGCCTCGATCAATAAATCGTGAAAGCACACATATCATTTGCCATGCACGTACTTTCCGCCTATGAATCTGCAAAAATAAATACGGGCAAGGAACAAGAATTGAATTGCGGAGTAACTCTCAACGTGTGGAATTAACACTTCGAGGTAATTCATCCAAGCTAATCAATACATCAAGAGGTAACCACTAACATATTTAAATTCTAAGCCATCTTTACAATTATTTTGATGGATCCAGGTCAATAAAGAACATTACTCATTCAGGAAGCAAATGATTAAAAAAATTCATGGTTCCTCAACCAGACCAGTATTTGTCTTTTATTTCAAGTGCGCCAGGAACTCACCGCACTATTCTTTTTATACAATTCCTTGGACAGATCTTTGTCATGAACCTGCCAGGAAATCAGAATCATACATTTTGCTTAACAATACTGTATAGGGTGTGCAAAAAATTTAGTCATAAATAAGATTCCTTCTACTATGGACAGAATACGCAAATAAAAAATGTTCATCTCAAGGATATATACAATCTAAAACATGCCACATTAAACCCATTCTTCAAGGTTGCTTTAAAGTTGTATGATCCAGAGGAAGCAGATCACATCAAGTTTGGCAATAAAACACCAATTTACGGAACATGCTGAATAAGTTGCTGTAGGACATGATGTTGCTAAGTATCTAAGATATCTAAAGGTTATGAACAGTTTCAACAGACACTTGAGATAAGTACCTTGGTATATTCTCCCCAGATGAGATTTTGCTCAATTAATAAAGCATCTCATTGGAAACTAGATTCTTAACCAAATCAAAGTGGATTACCATCTCTATTAGGTGTGTAGATTGATGGATAAAGATAGCTGTCAAAGAAGCAAGTTATTATCTAGACTCTTGCATTCTCGGTCAAACATGGTTAATGTCATTAGAGTTTTCCAGTGTACTGTGGATCATCCTCATAAACAAAACTTGAGATAATTCCTTATTTTTTAAGTTGGTAGAAATCTTAACCAAGAAAACGTGCATATTACAAACATAAACATGTATACCCTTTGGTAGTCGAGTGCTCAACTTCACCAAACAGTTCAAAATAAGCGGATGCATATGAGCTACATAGGCCGAAATTACAACAATGGGACAAAAATTAAAGTTATTAAAGGCAATCCTAAACTTACCTTCACCCTGACTAAGACTATCAATCTTCCAAGATAAAATGATCTCATTTACGGGAAATAAAAGATGCAAAGAAAAAACAACTTGAACAATTTCGTTAACCAGATAATAGAGCAAAAAACTTTACATAAGGCCTTCAACATCAAACACAATACACTACACTCTAGAACATTCATCATACAATCAATACCTAAGATGGAAAGGGATAACATCTCTTAACCAGAACTATATATAATAATCCTGAAGTGGAACTTCTAGGAAGGCTGAATTAAAACACCATATGGATATGAATGCTGCTTCATAGCAACAAAAGATGGCAAAAAAAAAAAAAAAGATTACCACAAAATTAAGAAGTTCTAGCAAAAAAAGTTTCCCAGATGCAATAACAGCAAAGTTATCTTCATTACTAGCAGATTTCTCCAAGTACGCCATGTCCGCAAGCTTTGCAAACAAAACAGCAACAGACACACGCGCATACAACTCTGTATTGATGAACACCTGATAAAAAATGATGAGCAATTAGGCCATTTCTAGCCCGTATCTCTACTTTAATGTATAGTTTACTAGTGAAACAAAAATCAAATTTCACCTCCAACCATTCGTACTACATTTTACTCCACATAAAATATTTATGTATTCTCATTATTTTAAATTATCTAATATCAAAATGTAATTACATTAGATATATTATTTTACACATATTTAATAATTTAAAGTTGTCATTATAAATTAATAAAAATATAAATAAACATAACAATATTTATGATAAATATTATTTTAGTTACTAAAACATGTATCTAGTGTTAACTAAAATTTTTAATAAGTTTGATGAAAATTAAATTTATAATCTAAGTCGTAGAAAATAATTTAATGATTTTATTCACATTCACATGATCCGTCCAAATTCAAGTATTAATATATTACATATTTTCCTGTATTACAAATTTATTTAATGAAGATGTGTATTATGTTGTATTATACAATACTTTAATGGGATGTATGTTAATTTTAATAAAATATATTATTTTTATAATATTGAGTTTATTTTATAATAAATTAAAATACTTGTCAAAATATTATACTAAACTATATAAAAAAACAAAAATTAAATATATGTAGCGCAAGCTATAGTGTTGCGCCACATATGGCGAAACACTATTCATGTATCCATATTAGAGTCTGTTTGTAGCGCAGCGGTGGAGAACAATATTGTAGTACTCTGGCGTAGAAGGGGCAAAGTAGCGCAGCATTGAATATGATCTTAGACAAGATATACACGAATCAAGCTTATGTTCAATGAAAAAAATGGATCGAGATACCTCTTGATCATCTCTCAGTAACTTACATCGGTTAACTCAGGATCTAAGCTTCTTGACAGTACAGATACTTCAGTTCTTGCATCTAGATTTTCAGACAGTTCAGCTTCAAAGTCTTCATCAAAAGCAACTATACAGAAACAAATGAAATAAGCATACAAATTGATTCTGTGAAAGAGAATCAAGCTGACATAGAATGTTGTTTGAGGTAGCAATATGAATAAAGCGATAAAATGTGTTCAATTATAGATTAGTGAGGAAAGTGTAAGCATACCAGAACCATAAAATGTCAATAGCTTTAACTCATTAATATAGTATTTTATTGTAGTTGGATATGCCAACCAAAGTCCACATAAATGCAATGCGGCAAGACGAATGGTGCGTGGACTTTTTGTGCCTTCTTCAAGAATTTTACCAACAAACTGCACAGAATTGATGATAGTTTGATGAACTTATCAAGCAAGTTACATTGATTATATATGAGAGGGTTAAAATGATACATACCCACTTTAAAGGTCCAGGAGCATTATCGACCTCATGCATGAGTTCATTCCCAAACACTGAATAATGCAAGACAGAGGACAGAAGTGCAGCTATAGAAGCCACCCTCCTTTTGTTGCAGCTGATATGCAATATCCAAGAAGAACGAACCAAAAGCCACATCATCTATGCAATGAAAAGCATATGTTGATCAAGCAACAACAGGCTACTATATAAAATTTGGCTTTCTACATCATAATCTTCTAACTTTGGTTTTCTATATTCATTTTACCTGTTGCAATCTAAAATCATTACAAAATGAATCCCCATTTTAACTTCCCTATTTCTACGAAAACCCTCGCATTCATCCTAAAAGCATCAAACCAAATGTTTAATTAAAAACTGTGCAATTACTCCACCACCAGATCACTTCATTCGCTGATAGGAACCATAAGATGGAGTCATTCAAGTCTAAGTCCTCCATATCAAAGAAAATCCAAAATACTCTTCATCATCACACCTTAATGATTACTGCATTCTAGGCCATCAAAATCTCAAAAGTAATAACAAAGCGTATCTTATGTTAGGCCCTTGATGGATATACACTAGTCTATCAAAAACTTCTCCCATAGCAGATGAAGAATGACTAGGTTTCTTACTTAGATTATACTGGATTTTATTAGGATTTATTATTCATTTATTATTTAGGATAATAACAGTTATTAGGGTTTAATTCTTGTCCACCAAGTTTAGGTTTTAGTATAAATAGATAGTTTATTATCTAGGAGCAAGTGTTGAATTTTATTTTTGTTCTTCGCAAAGGTTCTATTTACTTGCTCGTTGCGTTAATCTGTTAAGCTTCTGCCAACGTCACATTCCATGGTGGTGTGGGTCAACTTTCATTTTGCACATCATCAATTCATCATTATCAAATCAAAATAAAGTAGATGATAAATGGATGAATTTCAGATATTATTAAAAAGAGATAAAAACTTGTGTCACTAAATTAAACAAATTCCACAAATGGAATAACCCAAATGTGATTCAGAATTATGGAACTCAGATTCTAGATATGTTGAATCCGAAATCAGTTTGACTTATTTTCTTCATAAGATTGCACAGTTCCTTCAATTTTATTGTTACATCAAATCCTATCATTTATTATCACTTTAGAAGATTTCTTTTCCTCAGATTTCTATGCACAAAATGAAAGGTAGAGAACAAGAGTAAAAGGAACCTCGATGCTCAGGTACAACTCTAAACAATGTGACATTGAAATTAAAAGGAAAACCTAATAAATGGAAAACCATAGACCATGCATGTCCAAAGTGTTACGAAAAAAAAAAAAATTACTAAAGGAATGAATATAAAGCATGTCAACTATACCTCGAGTGTTATCCCATCACAAGAGGAAATCGATTGATCCATTCCTTTTAAGTGAAACAGCTCCATGTTATATCTAACTGATCTAAGCATGGACAAGACAGATTCTTCTCCAGCATTTTCAAGGCTGCAAAAGCATTCATAGAGATGATGATAATGGTGGTGGTGGTGGTAGGAGATCTACTGAAAGAACACAAGAAAAACTGAAATATGATAATCATTTCTGACCTCTTTTGTACCTTGCCAGTTTAAATCCTGTGACAATTTATATACTATTCCTTCTTTTCATAAACATTTATTCTTTAATTTATACAAACTATGATACAGGAAACGTAATAAAATTTGTTAACACAGGTTTGTGGAGAACAAAAGAGAATCTACATACGAAGCCATGCATAACAAGGATTGATAAGCAATATATAATCTGCAATCCAAGTTTTTTTTACGAGATATAATACACTGCTCAGAAGGTTACACCAAATTCATATGAGAATTAAGAAGATGTAGGATGTAAAAACACTGCTACTAAAGTAAATATATACCATGCCAACACATTTTTCAGATAAAAACAGATACACACATTGAAAAATGCAAATATGTTTAGAACATGGATTTATAATATCATGCCCATGCAAATTAACATATATACAGCAAGTATACACAAGAAAGAATCCAACATTGAAAATGTTATCACCAAACCATGACAACTTGCGCCAACTAAGTTCATTATCTACAAATGCAAGATAACGTAAATATTTTGACAAGATTATAAACTCAACATCCAAGCCTATAAATGATATATATGGTGTTTAAGTGCATATGTTCATATAAAGCATCCACATAACGGAAATTAACGGTTAACATGTATATCTATGAATTATTAACATAACTCGTGCCAACCAAATTCACACTGTTTACATATCAAATATATCCCAACTTCCGAGAAAATGTTAAACACGAGAAGAAATGCGTCAATATAAAAATTCAACTGCCAACAGCCAGGTGTAAAGACTCATCAGGCCATCAGTACGTACATACAGAATATTGGTTTCTTTAATATTCACAATTTGTTCTCAACCCAAACTACATCAATATACGGAGAAGTCTGCCAGTTCTTCCACAAAAATTAATAACCAATCCCAATTACTGGGTCAGATGCAAACATTTAATTATTTCAACACATCAACGTCCACATCAACATGCACCATACCAATGTACATAACAATGAACTTATATCTCTGACAGCATAAGCAGGCCAGTTAAAAATTGTGAATAGTAGCCAATCAGCATGACATCTTTTAGCATATTACCTTCCAACAAGATCACCAAAAATTTGTTCTGCTGTTGTGTCAGATAAGTACAGCTTACATATGCGCACATCAACTCCATTGCACAGTGCATACTTATGTAGCGACAGCAGAAGTTCCAGGCAGGTCCACTGAAAAGACAAATATAAGATACTAGGTATTATGATCTCACTAGCACATCAATGGTGTTGGGAACTGCAGTGGATGTATAAAAAATGTGGAAGGAGAAAGCAGCTTAAGATGACAGATCAACTAACAAACTACAAACAACAAAAGACTAATATAAGATAATAGGTATTATGAGCTCACTAGCACATCATCTAGTGTTGGGATGCAGTGGATGTATAAGAATGTTGAAGCAGAAAGCAGGTTAAGAGGACAAATCAACTAACAAACAATAAACAACAAAAGATAAACATGTATCCAAAATGATAGACCCAGGTCTAGGCACTTTAAAGAAATCATCAACAACCTCAAGTGAAAGATGCTCGTACACAAGAATAATGCTTCAGTTCCCACTTCAGCCTTAATGAAATTTAAAAATAACAAACCGAAGAAATGAATTTGGAATAAATAATAAATAAATAAACAAAAACAAGGATGACTTTGCACTTCTCTGCTAAGGTTAGACCTCCCTAGCTCTGCTGTGATAACTGGAGAAAGGAAAAAATGAGGCCCCGCTGTTCAGTTCTTTAAGTAAAAGTAGCAATTTGATTTACGGGAAACCCTTAGATGTCTCCAGCATTTCAGCAACTAAATAAATGGTATGCTAGAGTCCCAGACCTGCCCATATCTTCACTACCTAAGCCCAGGACTAGTATTTCTTTTGAGCTAACAAAATCCAGAGTAGAAATCGAAGGAATATGTGGGAGGGCCATCTACAGGTCGTCTGTTAGCAGTGTCCTTTCTTAAGTCAGTAGTAGACATGGAACTTGATCTGTTTAATGGTGGGCTTAGAGAATACCGATGTGCTCATTGACCCATGATTTGATTAGTTTATTAGCGTCGCAATCTACAACGAAGTTCTTTCTAACAAGGAAATGAATAACTCTTGAAATATTTCCTTGTTTGCAGTTGAGCTTGTCTACTAACCAAAGCAGCGTAGGCTTGTAGGACATTCATAAATCATAATACCAGCAAAGAAAAAGTCTGATCCAGATTAACCAATCAAATCCACTTCAAATCTACCAAATAATTTCAAATTCGAAGTTTTAACTCAAAATCCAACCAAATCCAACTCAATTCAATTCTACTCAATATCAAAATAATTAAATAATATCAATTGATCAACCTCACACATCACATCAACAAAATTCACTTTTCATCCACTGACATATTTTTAATTAACAATCAAATCCAGTCACCTCTCTCCTACTTTTACTTCACATCAACTTTAATCATTACATTTAAAAACTCATCTCCAAACACAAACTCAAAATCCAATCCAAAACTCCACTCAATCACTTTCAAATCTACTTCACTTTACTCAATAAATCTAAATCATGTCCAAAACTTTTAGGTCCAATCGCACACCATTGCAATCTGCCCTCTTGACAAACAGGAGAATCACAATATAATAATAAACAATATAATACCAGTTTTTCTTAAGAAATAGTCACACTTGGGACTACATAATGTTGGAAAAACCTAGAAATTATCCCTATATTAATGAGAAAAATTTAGGTCAAGCTAACGTAGAACACTGCAAAAAAAAAATGAGTGAACAGTAACAACTTTAAAACATAAAATTTCAATTTTAAAAAGCCATAAAATAATAATTTGTAGATCCAGCATCAAATATCTAATTTTGTGAGGGTAAACTCTGTAGACACTTGACAAGTAATGCTGTGCCATTCAAGGTTATCCCCTTTAGAACTCTAAGCTTCTTAATATTGAAAATGCACATTACACAATATGCCGCCTTGTGCATCTTGCAAATGAACCATAGTCTATGGGTGACGGCTGACGCAAGTATAAGAAACAAATGAATTTTTTGAGGTTCGTAGGAAAACAATCAATCAGAAGATCTAAACCGTGACAGAAAGTTCCTATCTACCAAATTTCAATATAACCTATGTTAGGAGCATCAATGACATGAAAATGGAAAAGGCGAAATGTACGATATTCTATCCAAGTCCAGGGATATATCTGCTGCACGGACATCTGCGAAGGAACTTGAAAATAGTTCACTCCCACCACAGTGGGCCACCTGGACTCTAGAAACTAACATAGGTACATATTGTCTGCCGTTCATAATTAAATATACTAGTCGATTTATATTCTTTGCTTGTAATTGGTATCATGGACAAACACATATAAATTACAACCAGCGCATTCGAAAAGAGGAGAAACAACACTAAGTGAAGAAGAATAATTATATATCCACACAGGAAAAGAGGAGAAACAACACTAAATGGAGAACAATTATATATCCATATAGGTTAAAAATTAGAAAAGCAAGAAAGGAAACATTACCTTCCAGTTCATCAACACTGCCCTTCGTGACCGTGTCAAACTTCCCGCATCAATAACATTGTTAATGTTATGAAGAAATGTACTCACAAAGACATCCAAATCTTGGAATTCTGCTTCTAATGAAAATGACTCATCATTGTTTGAGTCAAGATCCAATGACAAAGGAGACAATAAACACACTAAATCCTTCAAAGCATATGCACATGCTTCATAAGCAGCTACAGATATTTCTGCGTCACCCTGCTCAATCAATAAACCAGCTTACAAACCACCTTCAAGTAATAATATAGTTAAAGATGAAAAGATATTCTGTATTTATCATTCGATTCGGCGAAATATAATCCAAACTCAGCACACCTCTGATTTAGGGACTGGAGTTGTAATAATCTTCCAGGAGAAGTTCCAGAGGAATGTCTGAGCAGAGTTAGTTAGACCATCTCTTCGAAACTGCGCAATCCATCTCAGCACAGATCCAAGAGTCCTTATAGTTGTTATCTAGTTGTCAAAGTAGAGGTGAAAATAAGAAATCGGAACTCTGTGAATCATGCATGCTACAAGAGCAATTTACAAAAAGTAGGTTAGAATTAGTATATGAGATATTTAAACACACAATAAGCATTAAGCAAATGATATATTCAAAACCATTCTAAAGGGGTAGCATCAAATTAGTCAATGTAAATCACATATTAAGTTATCTCATATGGCCAAATAAAAAACAACTGAATTAACTATTTGGATGATAATTTCTTAATCAGATGGCATAATGCCAAATTTACATCTGAAAATCTAGAAGACACAAAACTATTTATTAGGTTTTCAAAACAACACATCGTTCACAAAAGAAAATTAATCCAAAGGCATAACACGCATTTTGCTCCAAGGGATTTTATATATATATATATATATATATATATATATAAAAAAAAAGAGAGACAAAAGAACCAAGCACAAATACCTAAAAGTTATCACAATAATTAGTACAATACAAATTTGCAACATTATTACAGGTCTATTTGGATCACAGACATTAGCTTCTTTCATTTCACCATTCTCCATCATTTCTCTACAAACAGAACTTAAATTTAAGTCCATGGTTAATTTGTACGCAGTAAGAAGAAGAAGCTGTTGTTTCTCAAATCAGGTGCGTAGGCCACATATGTTTTTTGCCTCACCTATATGAAATGTTTCGCAAGCAATATAAAAAACTATAAGAAGAAGAAACGTGTGGATTATCTTTCGTGCCTTCGTTATTTAAGGAATGCAAAATACAACTTATAAAATTTTGCATACAAACTTATCTTTCCATGCTCTTACAGCATGATACTTGTTTAACTAAGGATCTGCAAGATATCCAGATGGAAAACAGGAATAATAATGCATACATAAATCATTTCTTTTACATTGCAATTGTGTTATAGCTGCTACGAAGTTTACCTGGATAGACCAAGCTTTAACAAATATAAAAGGAATATCAAGAAGATTATTCAGAGTAGATGAGCGTCTTTTTAATATAATGATCATAAAACTATAAGAATGGACCCAGGAGGATAAACAATAACTATTAGACCGAGACATTTGCATGTTCTGTATAGCAACCAGCGTTCATATTCGATCAGAATATCCACATTTAACATGGATGATCAACTTCGTATGAGCATTTCAAGAAGCCAGTCGTCAGTGTTCACTGGTATTCAGCAATCACAATAACTCCAGAGATTCTAATTGAATTGAATCATTAAAAGCAATTACAATGAAAAATAGATGCTACGAGCAATATATTATAAGCCACATATGACCAATCAACAACAAATTAAAAAAAAAATGTCAAGTATCCAAAATAAATTAAAAC